TCTCGTCGGACTCTCACCGGTTACCAAAGACGATTGGATCAGCGTTGTTCCTTATATAGACCGTCGAACGGTCTCAAATATAACTTGAACAAAATGTTGGTCAGAAATATTTATATCGATGTAAGTATAAAAACAATCATAAAACATAACAGTCCGCACTACGGCCGTCACTTCATTCGTATGATATAGTCGTCGTACCAACGAGTTTCCCAACAGTAGCAGGAATGTCCGTGCCTGTGCATGCGGCGATGTTCTATAGTCAAAAATGTGCCTCTGCACATTCTTTAATTGTTGGCCAGTTGGCCTGACCTAGTTATTTTTTTCAAACACAGTTCTACATAAATATTCCATATACAAATATAATATATATATATTATAATTTACAACTGTGATGGCTGTCTACAGTATAYGATATACAAGTGGCATAATTAGGAATTTGGCTGGGGGGGTTATATGTTATTAGCAAAATTAGCCAAGCTATAAAAAACCCCACCAAATAAAAAATTTTAGCAGTAAAATAAAAATTTTTGGGTATCTATCACCCTTATCCCTCCCTTAATTAYGCACCTGCGTTAGACTTTATTCGTTCATCAGACACTGCTAGGCGCAGGGACCAGAACGGTCTTTTAGTAARCTAAGCCAAGTATAAAAAATTCAAAAATTMAWTTTGTTTACCCAATGCATTGTAATATATTTGTATACTATATATTTAAAAACCAATTCGATAATGTAAGTATTTTTAAGAAAATTTAAAATAGAAATGATCAGTATAGAATATAAATGTATTTGCTGATCTGAAAACATAAAAAAAATTTGGCTAAAAGCAGTCATTCCGTTGATGACACTTTTTCTTTGCTAAGATATACTGGTTTAAAGACAGGTATAGACCTATTTTTGTAAAATTTTACTACACTACTCATTGCATTAGGTGAATTACGAAGACTACCAGGCTAGACTTTAGATCAAAGGAATTTTATGAGAGACTAGATAAAGCACTTTAATTAAAGCACTTATAAAATGATTTAGATTCTTTGTTAATTATTTTTATAWAATTTAAGTTAAATAATTTATAGAAATTAAACGAAAGACAATCAAAATGCGAGGTTTTTTCAACATAAATATTTTAAAATTCACAACTTCAGTGTTTGTTTTCTTATCAACATAATGTATTTTTATACTAATTTTTACTATTTCTTTTCAATTGATAATACTAACATAACATTATTTACAAGCGTAAAATAAATCTTTATTTGATTAAAAATAAATGTAAACTAAACCCAGGAAATCATGATATCTTAGGTGTGTATAATATATATACGTACGAAAGTTTATAAAATAAATAAAAATTTTGGATTATTAGATTGTTTAAAATTATTGACAAGTAGTTGAATACACACAGGTACTATAATAAATCAGAATAATCAATAATTTTTTTTAGAAAAAAGGCACCCAATAAAAATGTAAATATTCATTATTGTAAATTAAATATCAATTCAATATTTCTAGATCATTCATTCTTCGTCTCAACAAAAGTCTGGTCTTTCACATCTGTTTGTTTCTTGATAAATGACTTTATTAAGTAAAAAGAGTGCTTAACAATGAAAAGTATAAGACCTGCTGCAGCGAGGTATCCAATAATATAAATGGCATCATACACAGAARAAAATCCCGCAATCTCTATACAAACAGAAATTTTTACAAGTTAATATCAAAACATGTAAAAAAATACGTTACATTGATTTTTGAAAAACTCACTTTTTACTTTCAGATTCTCTAAAAGATTAGTAGACTCATTGGCTAAGGTCGGTAGACCACTATAATTGTTTAACGAAAATGCGTTTGTTTTTAAACTTTGATTATGTTGTAAAGGTATTACCGAGTTTTCAGAATCTGGTTGAATTATACCAATCAAATTTTTATCGGAAAAAGTAGATATATTATTATTTGAAAAATTGACAATATTTGGTGAACGGCGGGTTATAAAGCCACTTAATGTTGGATTTGATTTGAGGTCAATGACAGTTGAATTAGAAGGGGTTTGATGCCTTAATACAGTAGAACCATAAACCAAAGTAAGTTTGCTAATTTTTATTGTTTTTTTAACTTTATTTTTGGGAATTGTAAAATTTAACATTTTATTTTTTTCTGAAGTCGTTATTATGGTTGGTTTGGTGCTAGTTGTAGTGGTTAAATATAATCTCACGATATTGTCCATTGATTTGACTGAAAATCAATACATGTTATGCATATAAATTCTTATTAATAAACCTTTTATAATATTATAATAAGAATATTAATGAAACGCAATACTCACTATACGGACATTTGATTTGTATATCTGGGCAGCAGTTATTATTATTATAACAGTACCAATCACAAGAACAACCTACACCATTTGATATTTTTCCACAGTTGTCATGACAACTGTCGATTTCTATAAAAATTAAATTAATAACTTTATGATAATCTTCTTCTATATATAAAAGAAAGTGTACTTTTTAATAATCAACGCTCAGACCAAACCACTGGGTCTAGAGACTTGAAATATTATATACGTGGTTATTCTTAAGGAATGTAGGAGCGCACTAAGAAAGGATTTTTGAAAATTCGACATCTAAAGGGAAAAATAAAAGGTTGTAAGAATACAACAGTGGCGCCATTTAATAAGCAAAATCAAATTGTAATATACAACATTAGTGTCAGGATATACAACCTACGAACTTGATATTTAGAATAGTGGTCGCCCTAATGTAAAATAATCTTAGAGTGCAACAAGAAAARWTTTTTCGATATTTGCATTTTAAAGAGGGGGTCAAACAGGGATCCTGAGATTTTTGTTTCTAAATGGTTGCCATCGGTTACTCGGGTAGATCAAGTACAAGCATGAATTAAATTGTCACATTTGTATGGCCTCGAATAAAGAAACTATAATATCTTAAAACCAAATGTATGTGTGTAGCTACCTACTCAAAAACTACTGAATTGAATTTTAAAAAATTTAAAGAGTAAAGTAGTTTAAGCYACGTAAAAAATTATAAGAAGTGCTAATTCCATTCTACGACTTGGAGTTGCATATCTATATAGATCGAATTATTTCACAAAGCTAGAAACACTGACGCCGATATGCTTGTGCACTTAAGCACACATATAGCGTATAAACCATATATGATTTGTCACAAAACAAAACTGCACAAAGTCGAAACCGGGATATAGATATAGATATAGATACTCAATAGAAAATCGTGAAAATACATAATATAATATTCAAAATTAAATGCATTTTTGAGTCTTTGTATTTATACTTATATTATATTTATAATATTATTGTCGATGTAAAAATCTTTATTTTGTCCTGAGGTGACTTTGCCCGGTGGGAAAGCTATCTATATATGCATATAGGAGATTGTACCAATTTAAAAATTAATTCAGTTTTACAAAGCTAAAAATACAATAMAATATTACGATTGAATATACTTTTAGTAGAATTAACCAAAATTTTGAATCATATTCATCATAATCAATACAATATTTTAACGGGCGACGAAGTTCACGGGAATCAGCTAGTATATTTTACTGTATGTGACTGATTCAAAGTTTTAGTTAAATACCTAACTATAAATCATTAACATTTAATGGCGTATATTTACCTTCTACGTACGGTTGTTTATTACAACTATTACCCTCTGTAATAATTATATTATCAATGGCTGCTTTACAACTTTTCCCTTCAATTACGATCTATGAAATAACAAAAGAATAATATTAAACATATGTTTATACACAATCTGATTCTACTCACTCTAGAAGAAATATTAAATCGATATAAGCCAATTATCGCTCTTCCTTCTCCCTCGTGAGTTTCCCAGTGAGGTATGCCACCGAAAGTGACTTTTAGAATAGGAATATCRTTTGAATATCCTGACATTACTTTATATGCAAATATCAAACATCTTTGATTACTTCTAGCTGGGGAAATTGATGGAGATATTAATCGACCGGTGATAATTGACCCATTATTTCCATTTCCAGCATCCAAAGATATATAATTACCTGATAAAAATTAACTTTTACTTTATCACAAATCAATTGTATTCTTATTCACTTACTTGAAAAATRGTTAAAAGATCCAGGCATTACGTGATACTTAGAGAAAATGGATGAAACTTGATCAACCAACCAATTAGCGTTGTTAATAATATCATTTTTCCAACCACAAAATGTTTCAACATCCGATTCAAAAGTACAAGAGAAATTATACATGTTATTATTTTTTACTGTAGTTAACACCTTAATCGGTTTGGCAGTAGAACTAGAAGTTAAATATAATCTGGCGATATCGTCTATTGGTTTTACTGTAAATTAACGAATTTAAACTTGATAAATTATAAATATAATAAGAACACAAATGAAACGCAATACTCACTATACGGACATTTGGTTTTTATATCTGAGCAGCAGTTATTATTTTTATGACATGACCAATCACACGAACAACCAACACCATCTGATATTTTTCCACAATTATCATGACAACTGTCGATTTCTGTAAACAGTCAAAATATATGTCACTTTATGATATTATTAATGTTTGTGGTGAATTCAAAGTAGAGTTTTATATAAAATAAATATAAACTATATTTATTTACCTTCATCATAAGGTCGTTGAGTACAACTATTATCCTCTGTAATTATCAAATTATCAATAGCTGCTTTACAACTACTCMCTTCAATTACGATCTACAAAACAAAATGCATAAAATTTAACTTACGTTTTTAAAAACTGTTTGACAGTTGAATATTCTCACTTTATTAGACACGTTAAATCGATATAATCCAATTATAACTCTCCCTTCCCCTTCGTGAGTTTCCCAGTGAGGTATGCCACCAAGAATTACTTTCAATGTAGGACGACTGTGTGAATCRCCTGACATTACTTTGTACGAAAACTTTAAACACCTTTGTTTAGTTGCAACTGGAAGAAGTGATGGAGATAACAATTGTCCAGTAGTAGTGGAACCATAATCTCTCATGTCCAAGGATATATAATAATCTAATGAAGAAAAAAAACTTGTTACAAAAAACAGTTATAATTAAAAATTTTAGTGCCACGAGTCATGCTAAATTCTTAAATCGAATCATCCCGACAGTGTCTATTAAGGAACAGATATTTTTTTTATTGCTGCAGAAAAAATTCTAATTTAAGAATTATTGATGAGGTTTTAAATTTCATTTTAGATTCTGAGCGAAGCAATGAATGTATTGATTTTACAATGATGTGTGTGTTTTATTTAGTTTTTTTGTGTTTCTGCGTATACGATTAATATTGTCGAAATAATGATTTGATTTTCAACTTCAGTAGCTTTTACGTTTGGAAAGTTAATCTAGTTGGTGCGTGAGGGAAGTCAAATTTTGAAATTCCCAGTAGTTTTCAAGTTTTCAAAAGCGCCGGAAAAACTAAACAAAAATTGAGGAAAAACGGGAATTCTTATGCAAAATCAATTTTTGAGAAAATCGAATTTTGATATTGGTGTAACTCTAAAACAAATAACGGCACATAAAATTTACACTTAATGTTTATATTGGCATTTGCTATACTTGATAAGATTTTCAAAACCTTTCAAATCTTTTTAAGTTGTTTATAGATATTTGAAATTTTCAAAATATTTTTATATATTTTTTTTATAACTGACAATAAAATTTATTTATTTGGTACAAAAACTCTAACATTTAATACAAGACTCCTAATATACTGTTATAACGACAGTTAAAAATCACGAAAATTTTTAGTTATAAATTCATAAAAAATTATCATTTTGAATCTAATGTTTAAAAACTCAATACAAGATTCTTCATGAAGAATAAATGTCAACCGGAAAATTAAATTAAATTTTATTATCATTTGAATTACAACATTAGATATTCACCCAATATATTTTGTATAGATATTCTTATTTTATTGTTATTTAAAAACGAATAACTGTAGAAACTTGAAATTTATAACATATGTTTATTTTATTAATTCCTATACTTGATAAAATTTTCAAAATAATTCAACAATTTTTAAAATATTTATCAACATTTAAAATTTTCTGTTTTTTAGTTTTTTATTCTAYAAATGTCAATAAAATTGTATTCATTGGGTCAAAACACTCAAAACACTTGAAAATTTAATATAACGTTYCCTATCAATTGATATAATTGCAGTTGAAAGATATTAATAATACATAGACACATTTTAATTTTATAACCGTTTAAAGTTAGGTTAGAATTTTTTAAAACGAAATATATAAAACTTTTAACTTATATAACTAAATATTGAAAATTTAAAACAAGGTTCCACGTAAGTAGTTATTTCTGCAGTTAACAAAAAAAAACTAAAAACTATACAAACACAGTTTTTTTAATAGTTTTTTAAGTTCAAATTTGGATGAAATTACATATTAAATAACCAAGAATACCAATTATAGTTATATTGTTCAATTGTTGTAATTTAAAAATATTATTCATACTTGAAATTTATAGAGTAGGTATACTTTATATTCTAATTTCTAGTTAATGTTGTTAATGACTTATATTAATATTTTATAATAAATTGCATATACTATGAATTACTTAGTGAGTCGGGAACATGATGAATCTGATTTGATTAATTTGGATTTTATTTTATAGATAGGTGCCTACATTTTTTTTTTTTTTTGAAAAAATAAAAATTAAATTAAATATTAATATAGGTAGGTATTACAAAATATCCTAGACCGACAAACCATCTCCGCTCAGAATCGTTTTTTGTTATAAAATTATATTATATCATTGAATTCAAATATAATACCATCCATTAAAATAATAACCCACTTCACACTTGTAAACTACTGTACAGCAGAACGACATCAACCTACCCCCCTTTTTTTTGTTTTATGGTTTGATTTTAATTACTGTTATTATTAGCATGAACATAATAATATTATATATCAACAACAAAATAAATATTTAAATAATAAGACAACAATTTAAAATAACACTGTAATTTTATAGTTTTAAATGTTATAAATTATGAAACATTTTATTTTTATACTTATGTAGTAAAAATGTTTGCAAAATGTTCTATCTTCATGAATATACAATATATATTATTGAATAATAATTATTCCATATCAAAAGAAATTTAATATAGTATTTAAACTGATAAAACTTTAATTATAAATTATAAATAAATAAATAATTTAATAAAATAAATTATAATAATATTTAACAAAGCAAAAATGAAGACCAATGTATAAAATTGACCTAGAAATATTCAAAAAAACTTTAAAATGTATARAGTAATGGATATTTTCTCTTCTCATGTGAACTCATGCCAAAAATTCTCCTCATCAAATTTTCTTATGATCTTATTAAATATAGATTGTTAGTAGTAAAAAATAAAATTTAAAAAAAAAACTTTAAAATAAATGTAATTTATAAGTTTAATTTGGGCAGTGGCRAKACAAGCTATTATTAGTATAAGTCATGAGGAGTAAAACATAGTCTACCCCTACCCAATATTTACTCAAATATATCAGAAAAAATGCATTTAACATATCTTTGTAGATAGGCGATAATGATTAAAAAATTAATTTAACAAATTACATTTATTTTACACTGCACAATGAGAACTTCTTTAATATTTTAAAATTTAAATGATCGAAAGTGAAGTGACAGGATATAACCATAAACCAGATTACCTGATGTTATATAATTCAAAATATAAATGATTTATATAACTAAGTACCTATTGTGTTACTTCTTATGTTTACATTTCAATGAAGTCAATTTTTTAGTCATAATACAAGATATAGGTCAAAACTGCTCCAACAAAAATGTTGTGGTTACAACATGGGTGTACTTGAAACACAAAATTTGTAACTTAGAAAGCATCGTGTAAGACATTCAAATAAAAAAAATTTAAAAATGCTAATGCATTAGAATTCGAGCATTACATATTAAATTAAATAAACATTTAACGATTGAACAACAACTCGCATTATGTTTATTATTTACTTATCACTTATTTAATAACAACATATTTCTTAAAACGTTTAATATTAACACATATTCATTGATAGCTTCTTCCAGATATCCAAATCATCTTGTTGATGGTTATTATTTTATTTACATAATATTTTTATAATTTTTTTTTTTTTAATATATTATATGCTAAATATTAATATCCACCCACCCAAAATTTGGAGGAGCTGTTGGTTCTTTAGACCCTTTCACCTTGTCACTGAAGTAGAGTATATTATAATAAGTTCTGAATTAATTACCTAATTCTGACTTGTCAAAAGATAATTCAGCATGCAATATTCAAAAGCCTTTTACTTTTTAAAATTTAAGGTATTGTTAAACACTTACTTGAAAAATATTGAGAAGAACCTGGTGTTACATGACTTCTWTTACTATTTGGCAAAACTGGAATTTTATCAGCTAACCACTCAATTTCGTTATACATGTAATTTCTCCATCCACAAAATCTTTGTTCTGGTGATTCAAAGTTACAAGGTAAATGTATTGGATCATACTCTATAAAAAAATATACATTCGTTTCAACTATTAAAACCGTAAGATATTATGTATTGGTACTCATTATTAAATTTTTAAATGGCTTATAAGTTGAAGTGTTAAAAATATATTTTAGAGGCTAAAACCTTTAAAGATTAAATCTTTTTAACCAAGCACCGACAACTCGCAGTCCCCGGAACTTTTTTATGCAGCTCTCTAAATAATATAAATCATGGTGTTTAAAATTTTTATTTTGTATCCTAAATTGTAATAAATACAATTGAATCGTGAGCGTGACTATTATATTTTTATTAATATAAGCGTCGAGTTCATCTCACCTTGTTCTCAAGTTAATCAATAGTATTTTTTTTAAATTTTGTAAATTTTCTCTGCTTATGAATTTAATTCAATGTTAATTTATAAGGACAATCTCGCAATGTGAAACTCGTAATATGATTGTTGATATCCATAAATATATAAGTATTATATGTTATAATTGTATTCTTAATATCCTCTATTTTAACTTTTGTATGTAAATGTAACCCTCAATGTAAAACTGATAAACTATATGGCTCACGTAATTAAAAATGTTACTGACTCCTACTTTTGATTATTAATTTCAATCTTAATATTAATTATAATACCTAAGACTAAAA